CTACACATGAAAAAGGTTACAGAAGTAAATAATCACCATCATGAAAACAATTTAGTTCAGTTTATTTCAGCTACCAGGAAAATATTTGTGACACAAGAGAGAGACTTTCGACTAGATCAGCAATTGATAAGAAACTTGTCCTTGAATATTGATTTTCATTCTCACTTCTTGACAAAAATCAACTGTTAATGCATAGACCTTCACACAAAATAATGACTATCGGCAAACAGAAACTTCAGAAGCCAGAGAGAAGAACTTACAATTCCATTGGGAACTACTGATTGAACTTGGCAAGGGAAAATATACTCCGCATTCAGTAGGCCACTTTGACTATGATGTCCTTCCTCATTGAACTATAAAACAAACATGCCAATTCTTCAGTTCATTTGGCTTGTATCTGAAATAAAGAGTTCTATAAACCATAAGGGCACGTTTTCTAATGCTTCTTGGAACCGTGGTTAAAGAAATGATCTTGTGCAGAACAGTTCTGGAGAAGTCTTAGTTTTGAGGCCAAAACTTTGTCCAATTTTCTCAGGTTATTAGACAACACTTTCGCATGGTACTTGTAGTCTTGTGGATGTTGTCACATCTTTCAAGCAACCAAAAAGAGGTTAATCAGAATTCTAGAACCGGCCTTAAAATATATCCGAGAGGCTAGAAATAGAAAACAATGTCGGCCTTAAACAAACTTGTACTGATTAATGTGGGTATGATTACCAGTATTTCAACGTCTTCTATGGTTGCACCAAAACTCACGACTAAACTCTGAATCAGAAACTTGTTCTCACATTGCATGTTGCGAGGAGCCTCCTCCAAGGCTTGCATTGTTACTGCAAAACATGCAAAAGTAAAGCGATAAATAATTATAAAACGATCAAAGCATTTCTACTAGTTCACCCTCAATATTTGCACTGTAATAAAGAAAAACGCTACAATTTTTTCCTTGCTTCAGTCTTCTACACATAAATGACTACCTGTGAGATCACATGTTGATCTAGGCGAAAGAATACCGTGATTGGGTTCACATCCATAATTTTGCGAATTTGGAGTTACAACCTGAAAACAAAATCAGACTCAATCAAAATACACTCTCACATATAATTGCAACAATTATTTTGAGAAGAATTTATCTTTAAAATCGGATTTTAAGGGGAGGGTGCTCAAAGTTCTTACAAACTCACAAAGCCTTCCACGAGCAACGTGGAATCCAATGCAATTAGTATCGTTACAATAGAGTACTCAAATCAATTATCAAAATGTATTTACCATAAAAGCGACGCGATGTTGGGTTTTATTTGACAGCCGAATTGTACAAGACACTTGTCTTCTGACTCTCCTCAGCTCAACTTCAAACCCAAAATAAATAAGTGAAAAAGCAAAACTGGAAAGCACAGTAATGCATCAAACTCTGAAATTAAATATAAATGGAACAAAAAATGGAAAATAAACAAATAAGATCAATTTGAAACTTACATGGCAAACTAAGCACTGGAGGGTCGATATCAAGAAGTTGTTCTGTGCTCATTCTTTCTCGAAAATCAAACGTAGTATTATGATTTTATTTTGTCTAATTTTTGAAGGGTATTTTCCAAATCCAAATAATAAATGGAGAAAGAGAGAAGGATTTAGGGATGAAGAAGCATTGGCATGGAATGATTTGAGGTTGCTTGCAAGTATATAAGAAAGCCTCAATGGAATTATCAGGAAAAGATCAATCTATAATAAATTGCCATAAAACAATTCCAAACTTTTACAATGATGTGTTTCCATGTTCTAACCTACGAATACTAATTTGAATAAATTATTTTATGAATAAACAAAACTTTTGTAGTCAAATTCGCAATTTTTTTAACTGGGTACATTGACGAAGAAAAGGCACGCCTCTGACCGGTTCAATTTCATCAAACAAATTTCTTCTGCATCTAGACTATTTCCACCAAATTTGCACGAGGAATATACATTCTAGTTTTAGAGTTGGTCGGGTTGACATTAAATGATTTTTAAAGAAATTGTCTGTCCCAGTATGTGCTGCTTTACTTACATTGAAGAAACTTAACACCACCCAAGTGTTCATATTGCAGAGAGGAATTATATAAAATCTTCTTTCTAGAAGAAGAAAAAAGAGGGCGTCTGTTGTCGATTTTTATATTCCGTAAGTATACGGATCATAACAAGTAATAGAGTCGACCAGTGAGTTTGGATAGTTCCTATGAGGACTACTATCTAACAATTGGTTAAATTATTCCTAACTTTAATTTGATCGAAAACAAATAATAAATTTTTTGATTGGTGTCTAAATTATTCTAACTAAACTAAATTAATCTAACGTACACAATTTATCGAATTTGGATTTTAAAAATATGAATGTGGATGCTATGACTTACAATTTTACCTATGGATCCCCTTTCATTCTTCATTCAAGATTCATTACTATTGTAATGTTCAGTCAAATTTTTTTTAAAGTATTCAACGTACCCCTCTCGAATTCTCATTGAGTCTATTTAATTAATTCAATTTCATATCTCTTTGTGAATCAATCTTAGTTAAACGAAATATTAGTTTTAAGAATTCATCTAATGACCGCAATAATTAGTATTGGTATCTCTACATGTTATACTAAATTATCGAATTTTAATATGTGTTCTAAATCTAAAACGCATCTCACAATTCGTAACAGATTCACAAAATCATTGAATATTTGGACAAAGAATTCAAAATATTAAATTCATGAATAAAATCAACATATATGCATTTAAAGAATTAGGATTTTGAATAAAAGAAATAAAGGGTCACATATAAATTACATTGTTTGCCCTAATTATGAATTTAGCTACTCATAATAATGAAAGAAAAACAAAAATTATAGAATTCATATCGGGTTTTAAAATCTTGATCATGGAAATAATTGAATCTTGTACTAAGAATCTTCAACTTCAAAAGTCTTCAAACCCTAGCTTTTACTCTTTAATCTTGATGATTATATATTTTTCTCTCCCTCGTACTTGTGAAACTCCCTCAAAAGTGTCAAAAACTTGTATTTATACTCTCCACGTGTTTTGTGTCAAATGTAGGATTTTTATAGGCTTCAAAACTGGTCAAAAAGCACTCTAGACACACATGGGCAGCACCATAGGAGTGGCGTCGCGACTTTGTATTGTGGAATTTGGTGGAGCCTCAGCACCATGATGGTGGAGCAGTAGCGCCACCTTTAGGGTGAAAATTTGCACTGCACTTTCTTTAGTATTTTTATCATAAATTTCTCTCCCCATATTCGTTGAGGCGATTCAAATTGGGCTGAAGATAACTTAAAGGGATACAACTTCATTAGAAATAGTTTTTTTCAAATTCGAACGTTTACTAGGTCAAAAAGTGGTCTCAATCTCGGGCTAAAAATCTAGAACATGTGCGGTTGAAAATTGATTTGTCAAAATATTTTGATCATAATTCACTACTTTTTCATTTCAAATTGCATCCAATTGACCCATAGCATTCTCGATTCTTCATCATGAGATCCGACACAACTTTTGAGTATGTAAACTTTAATCCCTAAACTTTGGATCTTGCCTTTTTCGCCAATTTTCGCTTATTTCTTTCAATTCCACTTCATTTCATCGAATTTCACCTAATAAACAAAATATACATTAAATTAGATTATAATTGTTTAAAAGAACTATTAAATATCTATATTTTTATGTCCAAATAAGTATATACAAATGCACTTATCAGTGTCGAACCCTGATCACATGCAGGCTCAAGGTAATATCAACTAATCTTGATGTTGGCCAAACATGCTAGGCGCTCGATCGTCCAAAGCAATGGGATGGGCAAGGGGCAGCAAACAGTTTTTTTCGGCTACATTGGCCTAACTTCAAATGTGCATAATTTTTTATCACAACTTCGAAGGTGATTTGTTTTTTGTAATAAACTCCAAATTCAATTATATTCTAATGGTATATCATTTGAGTAGTGTAGATCTTTGTACCAAATGTTATACAATAATTTTCTCAGATGTTTAGCATGTAGGTTCCTCCCTCGTTTTCAATTTTTTGGTCAATTTATGTCAAAACTTCATTCATTTTGCATTAATCATCTTCAAATTTAGGGTTTAACCTATAAACACGATATATACACTATGAGTAAAAATCCGTTCAAATAATCAAATATTGAATAGAATTAATTGCATAGGTAAGACTACGTATAAAACACACTTAAAAAAAACACACAAACACACAATATAACCCTCATGAGGACTCGTTATCTATGTTTTTTCTTTAACTAAAACTAGCTCTAATTAAAGAAAACACAGACAATTATTTTTTTAAGTTGATTTTTACTATATTTAATTATCATCGAAAACAGTCAGCAGTTTCAATTAGCTTATTTAATGCTCACTGCCTCTATTTAGAATAATATTATGTAGCATCTGTGGTGTTGAACACTAATTTAAATGTCAACATATCATATATCTTATTAAATGGATCATAATTTCTTATATTTTTAATTAAACTTATAATTTAATATTACTAGTATTGCCACCTAGATTTTCAGTTGTGCTAAATAGTATTACTCCTATTTATGAGTTAACTCTACCAAGATCAGATAATGCAGGGATTGGATTTGATAAAATTAGTGGCAGGTTTGCCTTTTTCAGGATCATCTAGGACTATTAGCTTCTTATTACAATGTCGAACTAGGAGAAATGAAAAATCTTTAGTAATGAGAATCTAAAACAAAAGAAGATACTTCCATCACCAATTCTTATTTCTTCTGAATTGATATTTATCCTATCCGTTGCTAATTAACCATTGAACCAATGGTTCTTCGCGGCGAAAAAATTTGTAGCTGAAATAAAAATTGCATATCAACATAAATATTAGATACAAATGAAACTAACTAAAAATATAAAAAATATATCACTCAATTAAGAATTGAAATTATGTTTTTGTGATTACTAATTATCATTTACTTCTCATTGTTGTATAGAAACATGTCCAAGTTGGCGGTGGAGTGCCGCACGAGAGGAGAAAATTAATTTCATCCTCTAATTTAGAAACATAAACACCAAACACTAATTTCATCTTCGTTTTAACTATAACACAAAATGAGAAGAAAAAGAAAACGCACACCCAAAATAAAAAAGACGATTTAATGGTCCATCACCATCAGTGTCTTCATCTGCAGTCTCATCCTCATCTTCCTCTTCATCTTAGTCACTATAATCCATGCACATTATTGCGCCGTCCAAAGAGAAGATGGACAAAAAGGTAAAAAAGAGCCTTTACAATCCAATCTTCAACAGAATCCGCTACTATCTTGTTTACCATCTTTATCACCAGCATCGTCATAAGTAACATTAAACTCCCATGTAAACAAAAAAATTGTTGAACTGAAAAACAAGTTCATAGTAAGATTAAACATATCGAATTTCCATCCAAAACCCACATAACAAAGAAGTTATTTCACGACCAAAAATATTGTCATTTGCAGTCTAACAGCCAATATTGTACGAATAACAAATCTATGACAATAGATAAATACTATCAATAACCAACTTTCTACGTCCCAAGATTCATACGATTGTTAGTCCATGTCATGTATAGTAATTTTATTTGCAATAACTCGATGTTGATGAAATTGAACTGTCTGCAAGTGCATTTCTTTGGAGTTAAAGTTATGAATGACAGTATAAGTATATACAGATGTATGGTCATCCGGTAGTTGGTACCACTTCTTTTTCAAAAGGAAGGCAAAGCTAAACATTCCTGGAAAGGACAGAAAAAAGTAGTGTTCTTTCCCGGATAAGTTATCACCAAGTCAAAAC